TCGCCGCGCACTCCGCCGCCATGGAGCAGCGCCGCGTCACCGACTTCTTCGCGCGCCGCCGCCCCGGGCCCCGAATCGCGCCGCCGAAGCTGGCTTGCCGCACCCCCAGCCCCGCACCCTGCGCCCTGGACCCCGCCACTAGCGGCAGCCGCAAGCGCGCCCGCCCCTCCGCCGCCCCCGGACGCGACCAGGCCAGGCCGCCCGCGCGCAGGAGGCTGCGGCTGTCTGCGGACGCGGTGCGACTGAGGCCGGGGGATTGGGGGCGGGGCTCGGGGAAACTGAGGCCGGGGGACTGGGGCGGAGAAACTGAGGCAGGAGGGGGAGGGGCGCGGGGAATCTGGGGCCGGGGGGCGGGCGCGGGGGAACTCTGGGCCAGGTTGCGGGGGGACCCTGCGGGCGCCTGAAATGGAGAGGAGGCACCGTGGGGCTGGCACCGGGCTCTGATCACGCGGCTGGAAGTCGCAGCTTCTCCGCGGGGCTAGGGGAGGGGCTCGCCCCGGAAACTGCCCCGGAGGCAGGAGCGGGGCTGTCTCCGGCTTTCGCGCAGACCTGTGCCACCGGGCAGCCCTGACCCCCGCCCTCCGCCCTCCGCCTTGCCCATGCCGTTAACTCAGAGGCTGCTGGTCCTGCGGGGTCCTCTGCAGAACCAGGAGAACCAGGTCTTGTCATGGGTTCATCTTTGGGGTTCCTCCCACCAGGTTTCCAGCCCCAGTTCCCCAGGGAGCCCCCGGGAAGCTCCTGACTCCCCCGAGGCCCCTGGGTCCCCAGCCGGCCCTTCTCTGTGCCAGAAGATAAAGACATCCGCCCCGGCAGCAGGTCAGCCGCCCCACCAGGCAGCCCGACGGGACCAGGTGAGGCGCGGGGCCTGGGGCAGAGGCCAGGCCGAGTGGTGCCGCCTGGCCTGACCGACCCTGTCCCCACATCCCCCTGAAGGACACCATCTCTGAGCTCCGATCGTGCCTGCAACGGGCCCGGCAGCTGGGGGAAAGAGTCCGGGCGCTGAAGGCCAGTGCCCAGGATGCTGGGGAGCCCCGCACCCCGGAGGCGGAGGGCCGCCCTGCGGAGCCATGGTGAGTGCTGGCAGGTGGCCAGGCAGGCCTGGCAGAGGCTGATCTGCTCCTTCCAGGGAGGGAGGTGGTGGAGTCAGCAGGGCATGCAGTCCGACCCCTGAGGAAAAGGTCCTGGGTGCCACTGGCCCTGTGCCCTCACTCCCTCCTGTGGGGGGCAGCTCCTGCCTTGGGGGCTCTGGTGGGTTTCAAATGCTCCTAATGCATCTTGGTGGGGTCTGCCCCTGCCCCTGAGAGCCGAGGAAACCAGGCCGGAGAGGACAGAGCTTCCCTGGGGGCGCCATGTGGACACGGCACAGCTGGGGTGTGCAGCCGGCCTTTCCTGTCACCAGTGCTACCCCCAATGGTGCCAGGGCTGGTGGGCATGCAAGGGCCACAAAAGCCATCGTGTGTGCCAGGCCCCAGCAGAGAGTCTCCCTGGCAGAGGGGCCTGCTGTGGTGCTTCTCACGAGGCTCCTCCCTCCCTGACAGTGGCGAGAAGGCGCCGGCCTACCAGCGCTTCCATGCCCTGGCCCAGCCCGGCCCGCCGGGGCTGGCGCTGCCGTATAAGTACCAGGTGCTGGCGGAGATGTTCCGCAGCACGGACACCATCGTGGGCATGCTCCACAACCGCTCCGAGACGCCCACCTTCGCCAAGGTCCAGCGGGGCGTCCAGGACATGATGCGCAGGTGAGTGGCCTTGGGCTGGGCTTGGCTGCCCTGGAGTCGGGGTGAGCCCTGGGCCTGCTCCCTCCTGACCCGGTCCCCCCTCCCGTAGGTGCTTTGAGGAGCGCAATCTCGGCCAGATCAAAACCGTGTACCCGGCCTCCTACCGCTTCCGCCAGGAGCGCGGCGTCCCTACCTTCAAGGATGGCATGAAGAGGTCGGATTACCAGCTCACCATTGAGCCACTGCTGGAGCAGGGTGAGTGCTGGCTGTGGGGCCTCGGTTTCCCTGTGACCTGCACACTTTTGAGGGTGGTGAGGCACTGGGCACCTCGCCCAGGACTGTGGTCATAGGTGGGTGGCGGGGCAGCCTGGCTGGGGCTCAAGCCTGGACTCACCCAACAGAGGGCGGCGGAGCAGCCCCCAAGCTCACGGCCTCGCACCTCCTGCAGCGGCGGCAGGTCTTCGGCCAGAAGCTGGTGGAGCTCGTGAAGCAGCACCACAGGGTGAGTGGCCCAGGTCCTGCCGTGGGAAGGCGGTGCCAGCACCGCTCAGCCCCTAACCCTGCGCTCAGAGTGTCCCCACCACCCTCAGCCTCTCCTGGGGTGGAGCCAGGCTGGGGTGCTCAGGGTACAGCCACAGGCATGAGGTCCTCAAGGCATTCGGTGAGTGCTGACCGTGGGAGGCTGTGTGGTCTCCTTCCAGCTGAGCGCTGAGCAGAGAGGCTCAGTGACTTGCCCAGGGTGGCCCAGATGGGACGTGACCATAGGCAGCCCCACCCTCATGCCCCTGCCCTGGTCTCAGATGTGCCCAGGGTCACCTACCTATTCCTTCTCCATAGTCCTTCTTGGCCTCCCTGAACCCCCCCATGGTGGTGCCAGAGGACCAGCTGACGCGATGGCACCCACGCTTCAATGTGGATGAGGTGCCCGACATTGAGCCGGCCGTGCTGCCCCAGCCGCCCGCCACAGAGAAAGTCAGCACCGCGCAGGAGGTCCTGGCCCGGGCCTGCAGCCTTATGTCACAAAGGGTAAGGCTGCCAGGCTCCGGCCACCCCTCTTTCGGGTGGGTGGGCCAATTGGACCCCAGGCGTAAGAAGCGGTGCCTCATCTGGCTTCCTCTTCTGCTGGGGAGGTCGAGAGTTGGCATTTGCTGTCTGTCCCCAGCTGCAGCCTCCAAGCGGGGCTCTGTCATTCGCCCTATGTGGGGGATTGGCCCTCGGCAGGTGACGTAGCATGCTAGGACCCTGCATTGACCAGCACAGACCACCCAGCGTGCTGGGCAAACCGAGGCCTTGATACTGGACGCTCCTGGGCAGAGCCAGGGGCACGTTGCCTCTTGTGACCTCTCCCCTCCGACCTGTTTCTCCCGCAGATGGAGAAGGCCTTGCGTCAGCTAGCCCTGCGCTCTGCGGAGCCCAGCAGCACCTGCACCCCCAGCCTGGTGTCCGCCAAGCCAGCACTGCTGGCTACCCCACCAGCCACCCCACCTGCTGCCTCTCCCAGCGCCCTGAAGGGGGTGTCCCAGGATCTGCTGGAGCGGGTGAGTCACCACGGGTGGCTGGTGGGGGCCCGGTGACCTGCTGCCCACTGACCAGCTCCCTGTACCTGCTTCAGGTCCGAGCCAAGGAGGCACAGAAGCAGCTGGCGCAGATGACGCGGCGCCCGGAGCAGGAGCAACGGCTGCAGCGCCTGGAGCGGCTGCCTGAGCTGGCCCGCGTGCTGCGCAGCGTCTTCGTGTCTGAGCGCAAGCCTGCGCTCAGCATGGAGGTGGCCTGCGCCAGGATGGTGGACAGCTGTTGCACTGCCATGAGCCCCGGTACGTGTAGGGCGGGGTGAGGGGCGCCCCCAAGTTTCTGACTAGGGTGTCTCACGCTGTGTTCTGTTCAGATGCGCGGCAGGTGCTAGCCGCCCGCACTAGTGTGTGTCGGGCACTCTGCCTGCCTGGGGGCCACCCCTAAGCCTCTGCATGCCTGCTGGTGTGTGTTGGGGTGCTGTGCTCCTCTCCGGGTCACTCCTGAGCTCTTGCCCAGGCCCTCCACACCTGCAGCCTCTGTGGCAGCTTCCCTGACTGCCCGCAATCGTTGGACGGAAGGGGTCCCACGTGCACCCTCCACCCCCCCCAGGCCTCTGGCCACCCATCCCTGAGCACATGGGGGTCCCAAAGCTGCAGGGCACTCCCTGCCTCAACATTCATGGGCTGGCAGCCCCCCTGCTCGTTATCCCCTCTTGGGGCATCAATGGCAGGCACAGAGGTTGGGTGGTGGGGCTGGTCTTGCACTGTCTTTGGTCGGGTGTGGGGGCCCAGCACCCGCCTCAGCACCCTCTCCTCTCACAGGGGAGATGGAGAAGCACCTACTGCTCCTCGCCGAGCTCCTGCCGGACTGGCTCAGCCTCCACCGCATCCGCACCGACACCTACGTCAGGCTGGACAAGACCGCAGACCTGGCCAGCGTCACCGCACGCCTAGTCCGCCAGGCCCACGCCGAGGAGGGGCTGTGAGCCCCGTGGCCACTGTGGACAGACACGGGCTTCAGGCTCGCTGGCCTGGGCCCACCAGCATTGTCCTTTGCTCTTTCTTTCCCGAGTGCCCAGGGCTCCCGTAGCTGTGGGTGGCAGCCACTCATAGGAGTCCTGTCATGTATTCACATTAAACTGGTTTCTCTGAGCGCCTCTGTCCTGGCTTCTGCTGGGGAAGAAATGCCAGACTCCAGCACCCACTGGGGGGCAATCAGGGCTCTGGCTATATGGGGCTGGGGAGTGTGGCAAGAAGCCAAACCCTCTAATCCTGGGACCTCCCACAGCAAAGGGTGGCTTTTGTCATTAGGAATTTTGGGAAGTGATCCTTAATCATCCAGCTGGGCCCCATGTCGTCACAGGAGTCCTTATTGAGAGGGCCAGAGGCAGCCCTGCCCTGACACTGGCTGCCTGGAGAAGCTGGGCAGGGTGAGCAGGACGTCCTGGAGCCTCAGGAAGGGACTGGCCTGCCCACACCTTCACCTCGGTCCTCCAGAACCCTAAGTTGTGCTGGCAGCCATTGGGTGTGCGGAAGCTGATGAGCACCGCAGTATCAGCTGCCTCGTGGCTTGTACCTGCATTCAGACTTAGTTACCTGCAGCCCTGGCGTGCTCCCTGTGAGGTGAGAACCACAAACGGACTGTCTCTGCTGGGTACCATGCCAAGCAGCATGTGCCCATCTGAGTACAGCTGCCAGCCTGCTTCACACCGAAGGCCGCAGCCTCACATCGTCCTGGGGCTCTGCCCCAGGCAACAAGACAACAGGAGCCGGCTCGCGTGGCAAAACTCTTTACTTGTGTTCTCCCTGTGTGTGCGATTGGGCCCAGGGTGGTTGATCTTTGCCCCAGGCTTTGGCACTTCCAGCCCCAGGAGAGGTGCTGAACCAGAGCTAAGGAATGTGTTCCCGTGGGCAGCTGGGGTCCCTGGTGACTGCAGGTCATCTCCATAGCCCAAGGCTGAAGCATGGCTGGGCTCCGGCTGGAGAGGCTGGGCTGGGAGGCCCCGAGGTCACTCGTATTGCAGGAGGGAAAAGAAGGGGATGGGTGCCAGCTTCTCCCTGCCTTTGAGCGAGGTCAGCTCCACCAGGCTCACGCACTCCAGGACCTGGGCCTGCAGGCGGCCCAGCAGCTCACAGGCAGCGTGCATGGTTCCTGGGGGTGGGAGAGGGGAGGGTGCAGGGAGAAAGGAAGTTGCTGGCCTGGCCACCAGTAAGCTGCACCCACGTGACACGCAGAAAGGTCCTGTCCCACTCCCACCGGACCCTGAGAGCCACAGCAGTCAGCCTCGGGAGACACTCACCACCAGTGGCCAGCAGATCATCCACGACGACCACCCTCTGTCCTGGCTCCAGGGCGTCTTTCTGGATTTCCAGCTCAGCCTGGGTGGGAAGTGGCGTGTGGGCCTCAGCCTCCCACAGAAAACAGCTTTGTGTGCACATCTCGGCAGCTGCCACCCTGGGCCCCAGCTCCAACCCCACCTTGCTGTTTCCAGGCTGTGTGAGCCTACCCATGTCTCAACCTGAGCCCCAAGGCTACTGTAACCACAGGGGCTCCACCTGACACTCCTGGGAGGGCCTTCTGGACTCGGTGGAGAATGGGCACAGTGGCCTGGCCCTGCCCACCCCAGCCCACTTACCTTTCCGTATTCCAGCGTATAGGAGGCCCACACAGTGGGGCCTGGCAGCTTCCCTCGCTTTCGGATGAGCACACAGCCCAGGCCAAGCTCCTGGGCCAGGGAGGGGCCAAACAGGAAGCCTCGGGAGTCTAGACCTGTCAGGGTGAGAGCGGGAAGTGACTCGGCAGCATGGGGGTCCCCAGGGGCATCTGGCCTTGTTGCTCCAGGTGAAAGGCCCATGATGTGCCCCATTTAAGGAGTTACCCATCACCTACCTGGAGCTGCTTCGAGGTCAGAGTGCAGACCTGGGACCAGCTTTTAATGGGCCCCTTTTTAGCTGTGAGGTCCCAGGGAAGTCACCTCCCCTCTCTCTGAGCTCAGCAGCCCATCTGCCATTGGGCTGGTGGAAACTCGCCAGGCCTCAGCTCTGCCCCAGGGCTTCTGTCTAAAAGGGAGTCTCTGAAGGTGGCCTGAGCTGTGATGCTCTGGGGCGCTCAGGGAAACGGTGCCCTAGCCTGGCAGGTAAGGAGGGGGCTCTCGCGTCCCAGAAGGGACAAGAGCGACAGGAACACTCTGTTCTCCCGGGACCACCTCTCAGGCTCTCCCGGAGGCCTCCAGGCCTCCCTTCCCTGGGCGGGCATTCTGTGATCTTCGCCTCCGAAGGCCCGACACGTGGCGGAGATCGCAGAAAGAACAAGAGCCAGGGCAGCCGGGCTCCGTGGATTCCGCCCGGAAACCCCAGGGAGACCAACTGACCCTGCGTCTCGATCACGCGTGTCCTGGGCTGGGGACCTGGAAGCTGTGGGCAGAGCGCCTGCGCAGCGCGGCGGCCTCGGGCGCCAACCTCACAACCCTTCGGGGGCGACCCCAAGCACGGTGCCCGTCCCGGCGCCCCCTGAAGGACCCCAAAAGCCCTCCCCTAAGCAGATGTGCAGAGCCCACGTGCTGCCCTCGGTGCGCGCGGAGGCGGAGGCGCCCTGGACGCGGCCACGGGGCACTCGCCTGCGATGTAGTCGATGCGGCCCCCGTGGGTCGCCCTCAGGTGTCGCGCCAGGAGGCCGATGGCGGCGCGGAAGGAGGCGGGGTCCTTCAGGACGGGCGAGATGTCCCTGGACCCAAGGACAGGCCTGGTGACGCCCGCGCCGGCGGAGAGCAGCGGCCCCGGGGGCGGAGGACGAGGGTTCCCGCCCCGCGCGCCCCACCCGCCCCGCTACTCCGCAGTCCCGGGGCCGCGGGCGACGCGCGCCCATCCGCAGGCCCGCGGGTCGGGGCGCCACGAGGGCGGCGTGCGGTCGCACCTGAACACCACGCCCGGGGTGGGGAAGTCGGGGAAGCTGCGGATCCGCCGCGCCACCAGCTGCAGCTCGGGGTCCGCCATTCCCGCGTGCTCCGCGCCGGCGGGGGAGGGAGCGCGCGTGCGCTGGGACGGGCGGGGCTTGCGCGAGGGGCGGAGCCTCGTGGGGGCGGGGCGGGGCTTCCGCAGGGAGGGGCGTCCCTCGCAGGAACCGCCTACCGTATTTTATGGAATCCTAGGCGCCGTCGATTTCAAGACGCGCTTGCGATCCAAGCACCACTGAGCAGAACGTTCGAACCGGACAGAGGTGCGCGCCTCTGTCTCGGGCGGCGCCTCTGACTGTAGCTAGGCAGCTGTGGGCCGGGGCCCCGGCAGCTCGAGGTGGGCGTGAGCTGGCCTCGCCCACACACCTGGCGCGCGCACGGGCCGCGCCCCTTCTGCGCTGTTGCCCGAGATCCCCACGCTGCACGCGGAGGCTGGCGCGCGGGGCGGATGAGGCGTGAGGCAGGGGTCCAAGGAGCAGCGGGGCGGTGCAGGGCTGGGAGGGAGCAGCCAGGGCGGAAACGCCGGGCCAGGGCTGGACCGGCCCGGGGCGCTGGCCTCTCGCGGATGGGCCCTGCGGTTTACGGGCGGCTCTTTCCCTCCTGGACCGGGGGAGAAAGGCCGGAAGGCGTGGCTAGGCCAGGGGATGCATCCGCGAGGGTAGAGGGCCCTCTGTCCACTGCAGAGGCCAGGTGCCCTACCAGCCCTTAGGATGGGGAGCTGTGAATCCCGCTGGCCGCCCGCCCAAGGAAGACTGCACCCAGGGGGTTGCGCGAGGCACAACTCCCCAGAACACAATTTCCTTTCAAAGAAAAATCCCCACAGCTAAAATGCCTTGTGCTCTAAGGCTGTTTTCCTCATTCTGTAACTTTACATTTCTCAACTTTTACAGTTCAGCTTTGGCCTGGCAGTTACAGCACAGAGGGGAAAACCCACTCAATGGAAGGCAGTCCCCAGGAGCCTTCGGAGGGGGAGGCGGGAGACTGCTGTGGCTGCTGGGGCCCCCTTTCCAGGGCGGGTGGGGGGCCCTTCCTCTGGTGCCGAGGGGCGTGGCAGGGGCAGCGGCCTCCTTGCAGTGTGCTGTGGTCAGGGCTGGCGCGGTCAAGGCTGGCAAGGCCAGGGGCCTGGGCTCCAGACCCCTAAGGAAAGTGGAAATGGAGGACCCTGACATCCTCACGGCCCCGTGGAAGGTGCCACATGAGGCGGCCCCACTGGGCCAAATGTGTGAGCTGCACCTCAGCTTCCCCCTCCTTGCTCATGATCCTGTTTCCAGATGGCCCGAAGGGAGCCTGGGAAGGTGTGGGGTGCGGGGGTTCCTGGAAGAGGGGACTGGCAAGGGTTCAGCCCTGGGCTGTTGGGCTGGCATGGGAGCCGTGGGTGATGCCCTCTGGCTGGGCATGCAGCGCTGGGTTTTGGAGAAGGCCAGGAGGCAGCCAGAGCTGGGTACATGATCCTTGGCAGCCACTGGGAAGGTGTGAAAGGAAAGGAAATCTCAGGACCCCAAAATCACTAAGCCAAGACAAAAGCTGGAAATTAGGTCAGGCAAACCTGCCTGCATTTTATTTCTAAATAAGACAGCTACAATGATAAGAAACTTCATAAATTCCTTGTGGACAAAGGACAGACGGAACTCAGTCATCCCTCTGGGGCTCCCCTACACCATAGTTTATGTAAAAATTCGGATTCACTAAGCCAGACTCCATTGTGTATTCAGTGGAAGGCTGACCAAACTAATGGACATCTTGTACATACTGATCTTACATCTCTCTAGAATGTATAAAGGCAAACTGTACCCCCCAGCCACCTTCAGGCACATGTTGTCACGACTTTCTGACGATGTGTGACAGGCACATGTTGTCAACCTTGGCAAAACAAACTTTCTACATTAACTGAGACCTGTCTGATATTTGGGGTTCACAGAGGCATGAGACGGCAGGGTCCTGAGATCGGAGGGGCTGTGGCGAGGAGGAGGCCCGAGTACACCCCAGGGCCAGGTCCTGGGCAGGTGGAGTTGTGCAGTCCCCTGCTGGTTGCAGGTGCCATCCATCTGGCTTGGGCAAGCACCGAGGCCAGAACTGTCCTCCCTCCAGGCACGTGCAGGCCCAACCGGAGATCCCAGGCCTGGCCTGGGTCCACACAAGCTAGTGGGACCAGAGGCACTTCTTGGGAATGGATTCTGGAGGCGTCAGACACTTCCCTAACTTCTCACAGCCTGGGGGTGCCCAGTTCTGGGAAATGAAAATTGAAAAAAGAACATGCAATTATTCCAAGCTCCTGTGGACTCAACAGCAGACCAGCATTTTTTTTTTTTTTTAATTGTTTTGAGAAAGAATCTCCCTCTGTCACTCAGGGTTGAGTTGTGAAGTCTCGGCTCACTGCAACCTCTGTCTTCTGGGTTCAAGCGATTCTCCTGCCTCAGACTCCTGAGTAGCTGGGGTTACAGATGCCCAAAAAGGTTTAGTAGAGACAGGGTTTCACCACGTTGGCGAGGCTGGTCTCGAACTCCTGACTTCAGGTGACCCACCCGCCTTGGCCTCCCAAAGTGCTGGGATTACAGCCACGAGCTGCCGCACCTGGCCATTTTTTTTTTTTTTAATGGAGTCTCACTCTATTGCCAGGCTGGAGTGCAGCGGTGCCATCTCAGCTCACCGCAACCTCTGCCTCCCGGGTTCAAGTGATTCTCCTGCCTCAGCCTCCCGGGTAGCTGGGATTACAGGTGCACTCTACCACACCTGGCTAACATTTTTTTGGTATTTTTAGTAGAGAAGGATTTCACCATGTTGGTCAGGTTGGTCTCAAACTCATGACCTTGAGATCCAACTGCCTCAGCTTCGCAAAGTGCTGGATTACTGGTGTGACCCACCACGCCCGGCCTATTTTTATATTTTTAGTAGAAACAAGGGTTCCCCATGTTGGCAAGGCTGGTCTCAAACTCCTGACCTCAGGTGATTCACCTGCCTTGGCCTCCCAAAGTGCTGGGATTACAGGCATGAGCCACCACATGTGGCCTCGAGCAGTTTTGATGTGTCCCCTGCCCAGGCCAACCCCCCACTTCTATCCAACTGGCCTCAGTGTGGGGACCACCTCGCTCCTGCTGCGCAGCTACAGACGCCTCTCCAGGAATCATGGGAACTCAGGAGACGGCGCCCTCCTGACTCGGCTTCTCAGTTCTGAAGAGAACTTAATGGGGAGGTCCCAGAGGTGGGGGTTGCAACTGCCAAGTAGCTGAGGGCCTCAGTGTAGCCATTAGAACGGGCATTAGAACAGGCGGGCGGTCCTCCCAGGAGGAGCCGGTCCCTACTGAGCTGCTGGGCTGGGTTTGGAGCGGCACTGGGCAGAGCTGACCCCTCCATTGCCTGGTGTGTGTGGACCTCACAGCGCGGCCTTGCTTAGTGGGAGGCTCGCTTGGTGGGAGCACACTTTTCCTGGCAACAGAAAGGGAAACTTACGCCCCTAAAAAAGAGGCTAGAAAGGGAGACTTATGCCCCCAAGAGGAGGCTTCCTGGCTGAAATGAGTGCAGCTGGGTTCTGCGCCCCCGTCCAGGACACGTGCCACGTCACGCAGCGTGCCCGAGGGCACTTTCTCCGGACAGACTTTGGATTCCGGGTGCTGCGCAATCAGACACAGTGCTAAGGACACACTCTGGCCCTGGGCAGCAGCGGGGAATGCCACGTTGTGTCCCTGCCCCTCTGGCCACCAGAGCAGGACTGGGTTTGGATGAGGAAGCTGCTCCCCAACTCCAGGAGTAGTAGAGGCAGCCGCAGGGTGTGTGCCAATCTGGATGGGGGGGGGCTTGGGGGATGTCTGCATTTCTCAGAGGCTGCTCAGCTGTCCCAGGAGCAGGGCCCAGGTGGCCGGAATCCTTCTCCTCTGTACAAGAGATGCCACTGAGTCCCTTGCCTGAGGCTGGCCTGGAGTTGGAGAACAGAGGGCAGGGAGGGTTAAGGAGGGCGAGTGGCCCTGGGCTTCACACGCAGGTGCGTCTGTGCGGCTCCCTGTGGCTGTGCTCATGGTGGGGTCTCGGTCCCTCAGACCCCAGTGGCTCAGCTCGCCAGGTCTGAGTTGGCACCACTTTTCCCCGTGCAGAGGGCAGAGGTGCGGCGATGGCGGCAGTTCCCCCAATGCCAGTAGGTGGCAGAAGCAGCCGGGCCGTGTGCCACAGGCCTCCCCTGCCCTGTGCCCATTGTCTCTGTGACTGGTGTGGCCCGAGGCCGTGAAGCCACTGAAGCCTGGGCTGGGAACAGGACCCAGCAGCACAGACCGGGATCAGGCATGGAGGGCAGAAGGCCAGGGCTCCTCCACGGCTGGTGGCCCCAGGCTCCTGGGGCCTAAGACTAGGTGGTCCAGAGACGGGAACCTCCCGGCTCCACCGCTGAGTCCAGAGGTGGGGACGCCAGCTGCCCAGGTCTCTTTGAAGGAAGAGCCTTAATGTCTTCCTATGGTGAAACTTGCCAGGCACCCCCTGCCCTGCCCAGTCCTGAATGATCCTGCAGGGTGGACCGTCCCTGGGCAAGGGCAAGGCCATTTTCCCTCTGTGGTCCTCACTGCTGGGAGGTGCCCCTGATGCCTGGCGCTGTCCTCTGCATTCACCAGAGGCCCGCAGTGTGGCTCCCAACTGTTCAGAGCCTCCACCTCCCTTCCCACGGCCTGGTGGGCACCTGGTGGCTCCCATGCTGTAGCTGGGTCTGGCCCTGGAACGGGGCATCAGCAGGGTCTTTTCCCCACGCAGCAGGAGCCCAGGCTGAACTGCCAAAGGGTTCCCTTCCTGATGTCCTATGGTTTCCCTCGGAGGATCCAGGGGCTGTGGGCAGCCACACCCAGCCCATGTGGAGCAAGGGAGCCCGGGCCCGGGGGCTGGAGGCTGGGCCGGCCATCTCCACTGCACTTGGGCTCTGGGCACCCGGGAGCGACACCACAGACCTGTGTGTTGTGTCTTTGTTGACTGGAGAGAGGGCTGCACATGTCCTGTGTGAAGGAGCCATCGGGCCTGTGTCTGCTGGGACCCTCCTTCGCTGAGCTGGGAAACAGGCCTGGGCAGCCACTGTACACCCAGGATGGCTGGGCCACCCACACCCTGCCCCATGGGGCCCCCAAGCAGGAGGCAGAAGAGCTGGTCCAAAGAGGCCCTGATGGCGGCACCCCCAGGGTTGGACAAGGAGATGCAGCTATTGTGGCATGAACACGACTTCCGCTAAACGATGGAGGCAATCTGTGCTCATCTTTCCAGCCGAGACTGGGGTGATGAGGACGCTTCTCTCCTGCAGGTGAACATGGCCTGATCCTGTCAGGCCGTAGGGAGGGGCTGCTCTGGCGCCTGTGAGTGGCATCAGGTCTGATGCAAGATCCCTGAGGCTGGCCCAGCATGGGGGGGAGGGCCCGGCACGGGGGGGGGGGGAGGGGGCCCGGGGGGGGGGGGGGGGCCCGGAACAGGGTGGGCCCAGCATGGGGTGAGCCCAGGGGCCGCCACCCCTCACACAGCAGCACCTGTGCCACTGGGAGCCCACCGGGCAGCGCCGTTCCTGCCTCGGTGCCTGCAGAGCCTGAGGCTTGGGCACCATCTAGGGCCCCAGCAGGGAGAAGCTGCCCATGCCCATGTGGGAGTCCAGGACCAGGGGGCCCCGGTCCCTCTTGTGCACCCTGCTGACCCTCAGTAACCACTTGCAGGGGGGCAAGAGTCAGGCCTGGGAGCTGCCCAGTCTCAGCTCAGCTGGGCAGAGGCCCTGGGACCTGCGGCAGCCCTGGTGCAGTGTGGCACCGGTCCCCAAGTCGCTCGGCTCCAGCACCCTGAATCCTGGACACTGCCGTGTGTGCACTGAGACACCAGGGCCCTGGTACCGGATGGAGGCCAGGAAGCGCCCCGCCTCCCCTCTGCCACCCTGTGCTGGCCACGGTTCATCTGGGGCTCCAGGTGGGTGGCTGCAGCCTGGCACAGGGCGGCCGCCCGCACACCAGCCACTTACCATAACTGCCCAGTTGCACACGTTGAGCTGGGGCTGTCCAGGGACCAAGTCCTCCTGGTGCTGCTGGACAACCTGGGCGATCCCGCTGAGGGCCTCCTGGTACTCAGTGCTGGCAAAGCTAGGGACAGAGAGCTCCGGTCACACAGCTGTGGCTGCAGGGCCGTGCCTGGGGCTGATGGCGAAGGATGGGGAGGGCCTGGCCTGGAAAGGCTGAGGCTGCAGGGGTCTAATAGGTCGAGCACTGTAGTGGCAGTTACTGTGACCCTCGGGCCTCGCCAGGCTGAGTCCCCTTGGATCCCCAGGCCTTACTAGGACAGGCAGTAGGCACCTGAGCTGTCCTCTGCCCCCAGACTCATGGGCAAGGTGGAAAATGAAGGCTCGGGAGGCCAAGCCCCGGCAGAGAGGCTGTGAGCACGGCTGTCCCGACCTGTCCCCACCAGGTGACCTGCCTGTGACCAGGACCTGGGGCATGTGGGCTGGGGCCTGTGTATGGGTCTTCCCAGCACTTAATACTATGTAAACACAAACATGACACACACCTATTTCATTACAAAAGCACCGTCATCCCATTGCCAAATGGGAAATGGAGGGAAACCGAATCTGTGGCTGTAATTCCGATGCAAGCATGGGAAGCATTTGGATTCCTTTCTTTTTCATGAAGAAATGATTAAACAGCTCCATGAGGCGCCGTGGGAGCCACAGGGCCACATGCTGTGGGTCTAGGGTCCACGGTGCCACCATGCAGTGCTCTGAGGGTAGCTGCAGAAGTGACATCTTTTCCCCATTTCCAATCACTTCAAGTATCGCCCACACCCACGTGAACAGACACCTGCCATCGCAGTCATCAGGGACGTGCGGGAAGAACTGCCTGTCACCGGCCAGGCCTGGCCAGGAGCCACACTGCTAACGGGGATGTGGACTGGGACGGCCACTCTGCAAGGTGGTGCGGGAGCCCCTGACAAGGCTAGACATGGGGCTGCCGGGTGAGCCAGCTGTTCCCCCGGTGGCAGCACCCATCCAGGCCCAGCACCTCCTGGGAGGAGAGCTTGGACCCACTTGAGCCCAGTCCCTCTGCCCTGGACACTCGCCAGGCTGTGAGAACTGGCTTTTTGGTCCAGAACCTTCCCTAAAAATGAGGTTTCACACAGAAGCTGCATGCAGAGATGGGGACGTGCCCCCTCCGCCCAGCCTCTCCTTGCTCCATCCACCCACTCCGTTAGGCCTCAGGCCTGAGGCTGCATCAGATGACCCCCAGGAGAGCCGGGGTCCTTCAGGGTTCCCTGCCTGGTGCACCACGGAGATGCCTGTCCTTGCCCCAGCCCGGACTACACACCACATCCGGGGGCTCAGCTCCCACCCCCCTCCTGCTGGCTGCCTGCCTGCACGGCGCACTTTTAATCCAGGAGCATCTCAGGTGTGTGTGTTTGCAGATTCTGGGGCCAAATACTTGTTTGAGAACCGGTGAGGACTGCAGCTGCCCCACTTGCCCCTCTTGACAGCGAGTGTCCCTGAGGCCTCGGCCTGGCTTGTTGCTTTAATCTTCTCGTTTACTTCACTTATTTTTTAGAGACAGGATCTTGCCCTGTCACCTAGCCTCACTGTAGCCTCGACCTTCTGGGCTTAAGTGATCTTCCTGCCTCAGTCTCCTGAGTAGCTTGGACCGCAGATTGCCACGCCCCGCTAGATTTATTTTCTTTTGAGATAAAGTCTTGCTCTGTTGTCCAGGCTCGTCTCAAACACCTGGGCTCAAGCGAAATCCTCCTACCTCGGCCTCCCAAAGTTCTGGGATCACAAATGTGAGCAACCATGTCTGGCCCCATCTTCTTTTTTTTGGAGATGGAGTCTTGCTCTGTGCCCAGGCTGGAATGCAGTGGGTTCATGTGATTCTCCTGCCTCAGCCCACTGAGTAGCTGGGATTACAGGCGCCCACCACCATATCCAATTAGTTTTTGTATTTTTAGTAGAGATGGGGTTTCACCATGTTGGCCAGGCCAGCCTGAAACTCCTGACCTTGCCGCAGCCTCCCAAAGTGCTAGGTTTACAGGTGTGAGCCACAGTGTCCGACCACCCATCTTCTTGTTTAGAGAGGCTCCTGGCAAAGCCACACGTGTGTCTGTCTAAGAAGTAGCCCAGGGTGAATGAGGCCGTGTCGTGGGGGTGTGACCTCGGGGATGGTGGTTCTCAAAGGCCTGGCCAACAGCTGCCTCCTTGTGACCCCCTCAGGGAAGCTGTGAATGCTGCCTGGGATTTGCTTGAAAACCGCACATTCTCCAGCTGTGAGGCCGGGCTGGGTGGCTGTGGTGGACGGTGGGACTGTGTCTCTGCTCTGGCCTGGCGGGGGGCTCCAGCAACGCAGCAGGTAACACCCCTGAGGACCCCGCTGTGGAGAGCAGTCATGCCCAGTGGATTCGGGTGGGCACTGCCGGCACTGCCATCCAAATTTTCATCTCGGGGGTCCCTGGGTGTGGCGGGCACAGGTGTGGCGGGCACAGGTGTGGCTGGCAGCCTGTTGTGTGTCCCCTGGGATGGCACTTGCAGCCGAGGGATTGTGGGCTCCTCAGTGACTCCTGCAGGCACAGGGGGCTGACAGACTGCCCCTCCAGCTCCACAAGGCCCCAAGCTCCTGGTCTCCCATGGTTTGTGCACTGTCCCCCGGTGGGCCGGAGAGGTCCCGGCTCTGTCTCTGTGAGCATCCCGGCACCCCCACAACCAGGACTGGGGGCTTCAAACAACAAAACTGCAGACACCGGCCCCTCACTGCCCCAGAGGCCGGAGCACGAAACCACGGGTCTCAGGGCCACGCCCTCTGGAGGAACTGGGGCTCCTTCCTGCCTCTTCCAGCCCCGGCAGCCCCGCGTGAGCCCAGGCTGGCGGTGTTCTGTCCAGTCCCCGCCTTGCCCCCCATGGTCTTAGCCTGTGTCTGTGTCTCCTTCCTCTGGACTCAGGGCCACCTGCTCCAGGATGACCAGTGCCCACCCATGCCTTCATCACAAGGCAAAGACTCTGCTTCCCATCAGGCCAAGCTGGAGGTGTGGGTGGACCTGGGCCTGGGGACACCGCTCTGTCCACTCCAGGCTGCTTGCTGCCTTTCTGCATCACTGTCCCAGGCTTCTGAGCTGGATGCTGGTAGAAGGGAAGGTGCTGATGAGGAAGTACCCAAGGGGTCTCTGAGGGCAGTGGGAGGGGCTCGGGCCCAGGAGCCTCAGAGCAGACTCAGCCCTGTGGGAAGGAGGCTGCCCCGTCCAGGGGGTATGCAGGAGCCTCGGGGACCTTGGCGGTGGCGCTGCCACCCTCAGTCCTGTGCTGCTCTCTGCTGCCTCCCACCAGCTTTGCTCAAAAGAGCAGGGGGCAGTCTGGGCAGGAAGCACTGCTGTGCTCAGGTCTGACTCTGCCCCCTATGGTGACGCCGATGCTCCTGGGTCCTCTGCCCCACATGGTGACCCCCGATGCTCCCGGGCCCTATGCCTCTCACAGTGGCCCCTGACGCTCCTGGGTCCTCTGCCCCCCCGCCGTCGACCCCGACGCTCCTGGGTCCTCTGCCCTCCATGTCAACCCCCGACGCTCCTGGGTCCTCTGCCCCCCAACGTCGACCCCGACGCTCCTGGGTCCTCTGCCCCCCACGTCAACCCCCGACGCTCCTGGGTCGTCTGCCCCCCACGTCGACCACCGATGCTCCTGGGTCTTCCCGGGACCATCTCCATGGGGCAGGAATGCTGGAGACCACTGGGCACGCACATGCCCCAGGATGCCCAGGCCAGGAGCAGGAGTTGGGTACCTGCTCAACCTGCGGGGTTGACACAGAGAAGCCTCCAGGTAGCCCCAGCCCAGGGAGATGGCTTCGGACAAGAAAAAAGGAAGCCAGGGTGGGGTCCCCAGCCAAGTGCTGGGGCCTCTGTGTCACTCCTAAGGAGCTGCCAGAGAGCATGTGGGTTTGCTATTGGCAACCGTGCCCCTCGAGACTCCCGAGGATGAGGGGAGGGCTTCCCTGAAAGCTGGCAGGCAACGGCCCAGGCTCCAGCATCCTTGGAGGGCGAGGACAAGGCCCAGGCAGCAGAGGGTGGAGCTGGGGCTGGCAGCTGCCTGCCATTCCTCCTGCTCGCTGACCTGCATCCTTGTACCTCCCGCTGGCCCCAGGGCTGGCCGGCCTCCTGGGCACGCCTCAGGCCTGGACCCCTCCCTCTGGCCTCAGCCATCCCCGGAGGCAGCTGAAAGTAGGGGGCATGTCGCTGGGGGCCAGATGGACGGTGGCCCGGAACATGCAGAAGTGGGGAAACCGCCAGGAGGGCAGGAGTGGGTGCTCCAGAGAGGAGGGCAGGCCACTAACTGAGGGTGGGAGGAGCACAGCAGGAGGGGACGCAGACATGGGAGTCGATGGGCAGGGTGCAGAGGGCTCCGTCCCTGCAGAGCCTGCATTTGGGGGAGTCCGGCTGGCACTATCCCAACATTCCGGAGGCCCTCCACCAACTCACCTGAGGGGGAACTTCTCCCCGGGGTCCCGTCCCAGGTGGAATATCAGGGGCAGCTTTGTGTGGTCTTCCAGGGTGTGAGTCGTGACCCCCGAAACATTCTGCCCAGGGCAGAAATCCATGCCCTGCAATGAGAAGACGGGGGAAGGTGGGTCCTGGAGCCCCTGACCCTTGAACCCTGACCCATGGCCACGACAGGCCTCAACTGCCTGTGTCCTGGAGCCCCTAACTGGGGACCATAGAGGGGCCCTTCTCTGCCAGTGCCTAGCAGTGACCCTGGTACTCAGCACGGTATGGGGCACTGGCTAAATGCTGAAGGACGAATGGGCCTGTACGTGTCCACGATCACTACAGCGTCCTGTGAAGGAGCTGAAGCCACCTGCTCTGGGCCCCTGAGCTGCTAGCTAGCATGCCTCATGTGCCCCTGGTTTTCATGTACCCTCTTCTTTGTGGGGCAGGTGAGTAAAAGACCTTAACCAGCCTCACATCTGGACTGCCACTAATTTCATGGAGGAAAGCCCCTTTTAATGCCAGAAAGGGAGGGTCCACCCTGGGAGAAGGAAGAGCCACAGTGCTAACATCCCTATGGAAACCGAGAGACAGGGAGAAGCAGGACCAACACCTGAAAAGCAGGAGAAAGCACAGACAATAGAAACAGACCCGGGGCTGACACGGATTCCCATGCTCATGAAGGGAGAGGATTTCACAGTAACCACAATGAACCATTCAGGAAGACAAAAGCAGACACAGGAAGCGGGGAGCGGGTGAAGGCTCAGGGGGCAGCAGCCACCCCACCACCATACCAGGTGGCAGAGCTAGACCTGCTGGGTTCCCTCCCGTGCACTCCTGTAGCTGCTTGGCCCTGGTGCGACCTTCCCTGAGCATGCTGTGTGCGGCCAGTGGCCCGTGCTCTGTCCCAGGTCCTACGATGGCCCTGAGGCCCCACAGCTCTCTCTGCTGCCCCCTGGGCTCCCTCATTTGGGAAGGGGGAGGTGTGCCTCTAATATTCCCAGAGGGGATGCTGCAGGCCAAGGGGCTCATCCGACGACTGTGCCAGGGGCTCCGGCAGCCGGGAGACTCGGGCCACCATGTGCCGGGATCCCTTAAGCCTTGAGCCAGGGTGGGCTGGGGTGGGCACAGCTGAGCCGCTTGCCTCTGTAGCACGAATGCCTAAGCAGCCTCCAGCAGGAGGCTGTCTGATGGGCAAACCATTTCCTAGCACGTGGCGTGCATCCGTGAGGATCCGTGGTCGGGGCCAGGGGATAGATCATGTTCTGCTCTTCAGTGGGGCAGGGAGGTTAGAAGCCCGTGCAATTCCGCTGATGTGTCCTGGGCTGCAGATGCCTGAGTCCACGGCTGGAAAACAGGGGCTGCACTCGGAGGGGCTCGGGGCGGCAGTGGACACCAAAGTGCCTCCACAGTGGGTGGTGTTGTGGACTCCAGGTGTTGTGGAACGGCCGCACTCTGCACGAAGACGCTGGCAGACAGTGGGGAAGCATCTCAGTGCAGACGATGATGTGACCAATGGCTGGGTGCAAGTCAGATAAGCCGTTTCATCGAGACCCCGCTGACCGGTGCAGATTTCTCTCACTGCTGTGTTCTGAGGGGGACCTCACCCTGCGGGCACCGCAGCAGAGCCAGCATTACCCAGCACCTCTTCTTCCTCACTGAGCCGGCGCTGAGCGCCAGGTGCCGGGCATGTGCAGTGGGGTGGGTGCAGGTGGGGGCCTGGGAGGCAGGGCTGACTTAAAAAGAGTGGTAGCAGGGGAAGGGGTGAAATCCTACAGAGACGGACACTTGGAGATCTGGTCCGGAAAGGCCAAGAGGCATGCGGACCAGCCTGAACAACCCTGTTTCCCACCCTGTGGTGGCAGCAGCTGCAGTGGGACGTGCCAGCCCCTGTGCTCCAGGTAATGGCTGCATCCTCTGCACACCTGCACTTACAAGGCGCCAGTTCCCTCACACACAGCTGAACCAGTGCAGCACAGAGGACCCGCTAGGATGTGACAGAGGACAGCGAGTGTGGCAGCCGGGGCCACCCACCGCACACATGGCTCAAGGGCCTTGGGGTGCGGAAGGGGTTCAGGTTCAGGAACCCAGGGCAGGGCCTGTGCTCTGCTGGTAGAGAAGCCAGGTACCAGGTGGGAGCAACTGGTCCAATGGCTGGGGTGGGCTGAGGGCTGGTTTGATGCTGGAGTGGGCCGGGGGGCGGGCGGACCGGCCGGGACGGCTGGGGGCTGGGTGGATGG